CCTGGAATATGTGTTGTAACAGCCCAATTTCGAACGATCAGAGTCAGAACAACCAAGTATACAATTTCTGTCAACAAACCTGAGCCAAGTTGATGATCGTACCCATCAATGACATTTCACCATGATGGTAAGCAGAGAGCTCTCCAACTGCACCAGCTAACTGTGCTACTTTCACCTCGCGCTTATCGGCACGCTTGAAGCAAGCGAACATCACCTGAAGACCACTTCAATTAATAAAGATGTACATGCTAGTGTAACGTTACTAATGTACCTTTCGTTGACCAGGTTTGAATCCATCAACCAGACTGGGAATTGACCGCTCATTGTCAGTATTTGAGAAGAGAACCAATTCCTTGAATGAAATCATTTAATCATTAGACAACGGCGATGAAAGTTGAGGGTTGAGGCCAGATACCTTATTAACGAAGTCACTGAAGGTAACCGCACGAGTGTCCTTATTATAAAGGTACTCTTCTTCTAATCCTCTCGCGCGCCGTTCCTTCTTTTCTGCCATCCACTTGGTCAGCCAGTCCTATAACACCAGGTGATACCGATTAAAGAACAAGTATTAAAGTTTCAAATCAGTATACATGCGAACTATTTCTTCTACCCCCTGACATACTTTTCGTTCTTCTATCTTTTTCTTAGAAAAGGCCATATCCACAGCATTATCGTCTTCGACTCCACCATATTTGAACTTGATGCGATGACGAACCATATCAGAAAAGTATTCCTTCGCCTCTTTTGAGGTCGAAGTACCTACATCACATTTAACTCGTTTTCATGAAACATTTTTACAGTGCTCATACAGGAAAAAGTCTCACCCAATCCTTTGTAGTACTTGATCTTATACGATTTCCAGTTTTCAGTATTATTTCTCCACTCATTGTATTCAGGTATTGAGAAGAACGAAAGTTCCTCTTTTCCCTTCGATGCCTGAATTTGCATGTTACAGTCAATGTTCAAAGCAAAAGCTAAGTTCAAGGGCAACCTTAACGATGGGAGTGATGAACTCCTCAACAAAATTCCGTTGAATAAGGCTTGGCCAGTTGTGGTGGATGAAGTTGATCACCAGTCCTTTGATGTGAGAACCGTCTTGATCCTTGAAAGATAACGTTATGAATACTTAAGAAAACAAGTAAATCAGCATCCCTTCCATAAAGGGCACACTATCGCACTGTGTTGAACTTCTGCAAAACATTCCCCCCCCCCTCCAGGGGTTTAGATAAGACCCTCCCACCAAAAAGATATGAAGCAAACTCAGAGTAATTTCGAAGGAACTAACCTGATCAGCCATCACCATCACTTTTCCATAACGCAGTGACTTGAAGTCTTCCTTCAGTTTCATATTTCTTCTTGTACTGCAGGCCAAGTATTTTGATCAGCGCATTGATCTCCACATTTTCCGCCACCTTTATATGGGAGTAAAAAAGCATTCCGGTCACGTCAAGGCAAATTTTTCGCCAACCTGTTTGATGTTTCCTTCACGAACGTTAAGCAGTTTACCACGAAGGGGAAATACTCCGTAGCGATCACGGCCAACCACACCGAGACCCGAGACAGCCAACGTTTTGGCTGAATCTCCCTCAGTAAGGATCAGAGTACAGAGCTGAGAACCTCTCCCCGTAACGCGCGTCTAACCATCTTCCAATTTGGGATCAACCGCTGTAGAACCACCGAACCAACGGAGGATTATTGCGGCGCGCCCAAAATAGGGGAAGCGCGCGCGCAATATTGAAACGCAGGCCGATCTAACCTTTAAAACTTCCGTGTAATTTCTTTAACTGCCACCTTCTTTCATCATTTCTTCGCTGCTTGAACCTTACCCAGGCAAGCACACGTCCCCACGACACCCGACCACTATTGCCTGAAAATGGGGCGAATGAAAAATCCTAGAGTGTTGGAAACTTATGCGAATGTTAAAGAAGGGAAAAAGGGCCCGTATCGGGGGACAGCGGCCGATCGGTATGAACCGACGGGATACTGCCGAAAGCCCTGCCCTGTTGCAAGATCTACCTGTTTGGAAACTTCTCACTGAGCTCGACACTTCGAACCAAACGGCACGACCGAAGTCAATAGTCCCTTTGTATGCGGATCGAAAAAGAGGATTCTCGATCAGACGCCAGGGTCACAAAACAGTTCTGTGGGCACATCGATTTTAACCCAGCTAAATGAAATGGAACATTGATAAGACATCTCTGCGAAAATCACATGGAACAGTAGAATCTTACTTGGAAAAATGGCTTATTGCATCTTCTCTTTGGGCTCAGACTTTCTTTTGATGACGAATTCGGATTAATTCGAGACACATGCTGATCCGCTAACGTACCAACATGCGGGTTCACCCTGAAAGTCAACCGAGCTTGGTACTAGAATGTGCGAGGGGAGTTCCATGACATACTGACGTAATGTTTGCGTAGTAAGGTTCGCAAAGAAAACAAAAACTACTTTGTGGTTGCGAATAGCGTTGGACAAACGATACTGTGGAATGCCTTTTCTAGAAACGTCGAGAGCTACCTCCCACGCGCGTCGGCTGACCTTAAAGAACATTAAATGTATACACCGGAACTCACATACACTTAAGGAAAGCTATCTCGGATCTTCCATCTGGGGTCCCACCTGGAAAGCGCCGGTGCCAAAGACCGAAATGAACTGCAGACTTACCAACCGCTCTACTCTTCAACTGAATAGACCTACCGATTCATAGCAACAACTTTCGCTGCATCGCCTGTAGGGCAGTGATATCCTTTGTGTATCTCCACGTACTCGTTTGAAAAGCCGTTGTTTTGTTGTTTATTTTTTGTTTGTTTTTTTTTTTTTTTTTTTTTTTTTTTTTTTTTTTTTTTTTTTTTTTTTTTTTTTTTTTTTTTTTTTTTTTTTTTTTTTTTTTTTTTTTTTTTTTTTTTTAGGACAGCAAATGATATTGACATATCTATAGTGAAAAATTTGAATCATTCGCCACATATGAAACCATCGCCCTTAACCAGGTAAGGGCCTTCCATTGAAGAAACACTTTTAACCCTTTAGTACTACACAGCAATATCGTAAGATCACGACGAAGACCATCAAACCGATGATATCGTCGTCCAGTTCCGACATTTTGAACTTTTTCAAGTCCGGTTTAAATGTGATCTGAAAACCGAGACGTGCTGTTTTCATATAATAAAACAACCTCTTTAGAAGCTTGACCTCACCTTTGTGTAGTCATCGCCCGTAGCCTTTACAATCTGAGGCTCTTTGTCTTTGGTCATGTTGTTGATCCACGTCTGCAAAACTCGTAGAAATAGGTAGAAATAAGGAGGGGTATCTCAAAGCGATCACCTGCTTGAAGGCTTTCCCGTACTCTTTTGATGAGGTTTCAAGAGTAAATTCAGTTGAGAATATGTTGCAAAGCTTGGCTCCGTATCCATTACGACCACCAGTAACCTAGAAAATGAGCGATTCCCCATCCAACGAAAAACTGCGAAGTATAATACTATGGCGAAGCCTATAGCGATTTCAAAACGCACTTTTCTCTCACTGTCGTCGTAATTCGAAGACGTCAGCAGTGTTCCGAAGATCATTTCTGGTACGTACATATTCTCCACCTTGTGGTGCACAACGGGTATTCCTTTGCCGTTATTGAAAATAGAAACTTGATTCTTTGCCCTGAAAGCAGATGGAACGGTTCCATTACTTACGGAGTCAAACAGTGAATAACTACATCTCACAGGGTGTGCACCCCATATCGCGGAGATGGGAAGGAATGTGGCTGCATGTTTTGGCACTATTTACCCTTTACTGCCCCAATCTTCCGAAAACAGGCCAGTTTTTGACCGACTTTTTTCTGCCTTGGCAGAATTGGCTGAAAATTTGTACCCTGGGGTAGTTTGACCTCCTGAACATGAATATCACATCCGCTAGGCACGAAACCTCCTGGCGCCCGCGCCACAGGCCTGGCGCCAAAATACCTCAGATCACCGGCGCCTGTGGCGCGGGCGCCAGGTTTCGGGCTAAGCGAATGTCATATTCGTATTCAGGAGGTCAAAATACCCCAGGAGACAACATTTGAGCCAAATCTGTCCACGGAGAAAAAGTCGGTCAGAAACTGGCTCAATTCTGGATGGTTGGGGCAGTAAAGGGTAAATAGTGCCCATATTTTATTTGAATATGGTTCAGTCAAAGAGCAGTACACGTTTTCCAGCAGTCGCCTCTAGGTTAAAATGCTGTGCAGCCCCCCACCCCCCCCTATCTCCGGTATAGTGTTCTTTACGAAAAACAATTTCAATTCTACTTACACAGAAGTTGCAAGAACGGGAAAAACTTAGCTTGTCAATATTCGATCTTGATAGCATGTCATTTTTGCCGATCTCTTTTTGTATCGGCAGCATTTACAAGAATTTCATCAAAAATTTTGTACAGTCCTGGCACATATTGGATGTCTTTCAGAACAAGCCTTTCAGTTTCGCTGTCGTATACCCACATCGACTAAAAACTATATGAATAGGACTAGCGCTACTTTCAAACTGAGACCTCGATCACGCTATTGGATATGCCGATCTAATCGCGCCCGCACGCGCAAAGAACTATTCCAATGCACGTACTGTCTTCTCTGTATATTCCACAGATCCGATGTAGGTATCAGGACGAAGCAAGATGTGTTCGAGTTGCGATTTCTTCTGATAAATATCCTCAATAGCCAATTTCTTCCCTTTGTTGGAAGCTTGGTCGATATTCGTGAACACATTCCTATCCTCTTCTGTCATCGTCATTGATATATCAGCTGAAAGCAAAACAAAAATTCAAACGCCTAGATTTGATGAACAAAACCTTACATTCAACTTACCTATCTTCTCTTTCTTTTCTTTATGCTCCTTCGGCTCCTTTAGGCTCCTTTGGTTTTGCTGGAGCTTTCTTCTCCCCTGCTGGTTTTTTGGGTGGTGCTTTCTTTTTGGGAGAGTCATCGATAAAGAAATCACTATCGTCACTGTCGCTCATCGTTAGTAATGGGTTTTAATACTGAGGTGGCGACGAGCCCTGAGTTAGAACAAACTATTGCCAAGTGTCGAGCATTGAACAATAAGTAACTACTGAAGACAAAAACGAAAGAACGGATGGAGTTTCCACGATAACGCTGCTTTCCAATGAAGGTGCAGGATTAAAACTTAACGTTAACCAGCAAACAAGCTACATACTCAACACCATACAAGTAGAGGGCAAGGGTGGGTATTCAATTGCCCTTCCAATCCTGGTCAAGCCGTAGTAACAGGTGGGCCAAGCAGACTCTGATTGAGTTATACAAAATTTAGTCATAAAATCAGCCTGAAAATACTGTGCACCGCTTAATGCCTGATTGGTGCTATAGTCAGGGCACTCTGCGCCGGGTATATGACAAGACAATCGTGAATTCCCATGAGGCGTGGCGAGCGACGCGCACCGCGAAGGACGAGTTGTGCTGCTTATCCGTCGAATTTGAATATTAAAGTGGCGGGAAAGGGTGATACCGAAGAGCGCCAATGGTAAGATCACGGCGCGACTGTACGATTACTACAAAAGATGCTGAAGGGTTTTGATGCTTCATATCGTCAGCCTTGGCAGCAATATACCTTGTGGGAAGTGGTCTAAAACACGTGAAATATGCGCAGAAATAGGGAGAACAAACAAAAAAGCCATGCTTCCCACGAGTTCCGCTGCTCCAATTGAGAAACTGACGCATAGTTTCAAGTCCCCTGCAAGCTGCGTGACGCCCGCCTTGAAAATTTCCCGCGCTCATCACCAGACGGTGCGCCGCGCGCGACGGCGCGACAAAACACGATTCTCCTGTTCTCCCCTGAGCCGGGAAGTATGGAGGGTGGAAGTGTAGCAGCTACAACCATGAAGGCCCATAACTGCTTCTACGGTGTGGATCACATATTTTAGTTAAAAGCTAGCATCTTTGATACTCACTCTGAAAGACCGCCAATTCCAAGAAGATACAACTACACTACATACGACAGGATAGATTATTATTTCGATATTCAAAAGCCGGTCCCCATCTCATTCCACTCGCCATTGTTGGGGGATTCAATGAAAGCGATAGCATCATCTGAGAAAAAGCGGGTGTGGCGCCGGACTCTAACTCGGTAACAGAGTTGGAGGATTCACTCGGACTCAGGACCTCCGTTTCATCGCCCGAGATAGATGATCGGTTGGTGAAGGGAAAGAAGCAGGAGCAAATCTCAGCCTTTGATACTGCCTCACTCATCCTCTGAACCTGCTTGCACAGGGCAGATTCAAGGGATGAGAGCTCCGCCGATTTTTTTTTTCTTTTGACCATCCATTCAGAACTTTCAAGATGACTGGATGCTCTGAGAAGTCAATCAA